AAGTCCTTCCTTGAAGCAGGACCTCTGGATCCACCGCAGTCTTACTCCATAAACTTACAGTCACGATTACAAATGAGGTAGGTTATATTCAAATTTCCCTAACAAGAATGTGTGTATTTAAAAAGGTGTGGAAAACATCAAAGATGTATGATGGAAATCAGTATATTGGAAATATACTACAAATGCATTTTCCTCAGAGATACTGTTGGAATTTGAAACACTGCCTTGTAGCTTCCTTTTTTTTTTTTAAGTTTGATGGGTAATATTTTAAAGTCAGAATATTGGTTTACTTCATCCCAAAAGAACATTTTTCATGGCAGGTTGCAGATCACTCTCTCCTTTGAGGTGTTGTGAATTTCATTATTCCATCCCTTTTCCATGACATCAGGAGCCAAATATCCAAACATATTTCTGTTAAACTGATTCATATGGTAACTCCGTACTTAGTGTTAATCTTTTATATTATAAATGATTCTTTAAATCTTTTCTTAAAGCAATGAAGCTAATAGATTTCTTGAAACATTTTCAATATAATAGATAGTACTGAAGAATTTAAACATAAAAATTACCTTCTAGTGGGGGGGAAAACACCTTTCCTCTGAATCTAATACTTTTTTCTCTTGTGCTCTTTTTTTTCCCCTGTGTCATCCTAGACCATTCTATTCTACCGTTGCTCTTTCTTTCTTACTGGTTCTAACCAATGTTTCATGTTTTTCTTGCCTAGCTGTTGTCTTTCATAGCTTATATGGAGTTCGCTATCAATAAGATCTAGAGGTCACCAATAACACATTAAGGGTTAATTCTGCATAAAAAAAATCAGACTCTTACAGACATTTGGAAAACTGTTTAAGAGACTCTTACATCTCAAGACTCTTGAGACCCAGGTGTGCTCCCCCATGCACTTGAATCTCTAGCTGTCTCTTGATTTTGTAGTCTTTTTCTCTTTGTTTTTACTAACATCAGAACAGAATGGCATTCAGGTAAGTCCAGCTCAGTTCTCTGGATGCTACTGGAGCACTTGTTTGTCACAGACTGTAGAAGGGACTAGAGGAATAAAGATAATTCCAGCCCTCCAGAATTCTGCTACCTGATGGGGTAGACATTCACATAAACAGATCATTTCAATACAAAGTGAAATGCTAATGGAGGGGTATACTCAATGGTCACTGGGAGGACAAAGAAAAGGCACCTAACTCAATCTAGAGGCTTAAAGAAAATTTCTAGGGATGATGACAGCTGATTTGAGTGTTAAAGGATGTTTAAGAGGCGTCCAGTCCAATATTACTAGAGCATCTTGTTGGGGTGGGGCACGAGAGGGGGCCCACAGGAGGGATAAATGCCATGCCAAGTACCATATATTGTATCCTATAAGATATGGGGACCTGCTGGTTTTAAGTAGAGAAGTGCCTTGTATTTTGGAAATATCATTCTCACTGCTGAGCCATGAGGATGGCTCTGAATCAGTGGTTCTCAATGCGCCCTTGACAGCAGCTTCAGCATTGCCTAAGGATTTAAAGATGCGCATTCTCAGGCCCCACCTTAGACTGACTGAATCAGAAACTTTGGGATTGAGGCTCACCATCCGTTTCAACAAGCCCTCCAGGTGATTTTGATACAGGCCAAAGTTTGAATCACCACTCTAAATCAGCAGGAATATTTGAACAAGTCTGGAGCAGGGCTCAGATTAAGAAGGAACTTACATCAGGTACAGAATTTAAGAGGCTGGTAAAATTCTCAGTAACCAAGATAAATAATATGTTAATGTAATATTTTTTAAAAATCAAAATTGATGCCAAAAATTCGCAATGTTGTTTGTTTTAGGACCCTGTGTTATTGTGCAATGGGAACAGCTGTTTCCCATCAGCTTGGGGTTCCCAGGGCCCACATAGCTGTTACATCTCCCATAGGCAGATTGGGTAATGTGGGGTTCAGGGCTAGCTTCAAGCATGCAGTGGAACAGTGCCCTACATGCAGAAGGACCCCATGCTTAGCTGGTTTACTGCTCTGTGGTCACTGTCTTGAAATTCTTCATAATTTTAAAGAAGGGGCCCTGTATTTTCATTTTGTATGGGGCCCTGCAAAGTTTCTCCGGAATGGTTTCTAGATGTCTTTTTTCCTTCAAATTTTACATTAGCATACAGTAAATTCCGTCTTCTTGTTGTTGCAGAACTTTCATTAACTTTTCTGATTTGGGTCCGAAAATGAGAGGACATTTTGGTAACTGTACCCAGAGTACAGATTTTTCCTTTTACCTCAGGCTCCAACATGGCCCAACACAGTACTGGTCCAGAGACTTTTTTTTAATTGTCACAACTAAGGGGTGCTACTGACATCTAGTGGGTGGTGACAAGGGATGCTGCTCAACATCCTATAATGCACAGGACAGCTTCACAACAAAAAATCATTGGTCCAAAATGTCAACGGTGATTAGTCAGCTAGGAGGGAGTGGAGTTCGAGGGAAAGAAAGACTCAAGAGTTTTTGCTTGCTTAGGGCACAAGCCGTGGTATAGAGGATTCAGGAGGAGAAGTTAGGCAGAAATGAGGCAAGAGACTGGAGTTGGAGGTAGGGCACCTGAATAGAGATATTTGTTTAAAGTCAGAATCTGAATCTCTGAAGGGAGTTTAGGATGGTCAGCAGGTACCTCTACTGTGGTCCTCTGACCTACCCAAACCTTCAGGACAATCCATCCCTCCTGCTTCAGAGACACTACAGCTCAACCAGCGAACAAGGAAGGCAATTTTTGGCCTTTTAAGTCCCATGTGATTTTTCTGAAACTCATTGGCAGAGGAATAGTTTTGTGCATTTAAAATATTTAGGCCCTAAAGAGCTCAAGGTATAAAGTTCATTGTCATGCTATAATTTACAGGCTGGAATAACTGGCAAGTCCAAGTACTTTACTCTGAGGTGAAATAAAGATTCCATGGGAATGCTCCAAATGGACAGGAACAGAACCAGCATCAGCAAGCAGCATATCCCTGCTTGGAGAGGCAGCCTTCCTTTCCAACAGCTGAGACCACTTACAGGCCTCAGGACAGAGATAAAGCCCCATCAACCATTCTTGGGAAGAGCTGAAGGGATCCACAGTCCATCACAGTTGAATGCCAAAGTAATCTCCTGCTGCTTCAGTGACGTTTGCTGGTCAAGTTTCTCTAGAACTGTTCCTGGGTGACTTTTCTTTTCTTCTTCAATTTTTACATTTGTAGAAAGTGAATTCACTTCACTCTAAATATTTTCAACCTTCTTTATGGTCATCAATAAATGGCAAGGATTTTTCTTTGTTGTTTAAGTTTATGGGATACATTTTCTGACTACAAGATAATTTTCTACTTCCTGTTTTTTTAAACATTTATTCTTTAATTCTGAACCCACGGGTACCTCTGAAGGCAGCAATGTCCAACATCGTATCCCTAGACCATGGCACAGTACCCAGAACATGGTAGGGG